CCATCACTTTCCAATCCATTCCATCACTTCCCACCTCTTCCCATCACCTCCCACTGCCTCCCACCACTTTCCAACTCTTCCCATCGCTTCCCACCACTTTCCAGCACTTTCCAGCTCTTCCCACCTCTTCTCAACTCTTCCCACCTATTCACACCACCTTCCAGCTCTTCCCATCACTTCCCACCACTTTCCAACCCTTCCCCTCACCTCCCACCGCCTCTCACCACTTTCCAGCTCTTCCCACCACTTTCCAGCCCTTCCCATCACTTCCCACCGCTCTCCAACCCTTCCCATCACTTCCCACCTCTTCCCATCACCACCCACTGCCTCCCACCACCTTCCAACTCTTCCCATCACTTCCCACCACTTTCCAACTCTTCCCAGTGCTTCCCAACACCTCCCACAGAGTCCTACCATTTTTCAATCCTTTCCATCACTTCCCACCACTCTCCAACTCTTCCCATCACTTCCCATCACTTTCCAGCTCTTCCCATCCCGTCCCACTGCCTCCCACCGCTTCCCAGCTCTTCCCATCACTTCCCACCACTTTCCAGCTCTTTCCACCTCTTCCCACCACTCTCCACCTCTTCTCATCATCACCTCCCACCTGCCTCTCACCACTTTCCAACCCTTCCCATCACTTCCCACCACTCTCCAACTCTTCCCACCTCTTCCCACTCCCTCCCACCACTTTCCACCATTTCCCATCACTTCCCACTGGTTCCCACCATCTCCCAGAGTTTTCCAGCTCTTCCCACCCCCTCCCACCCTCTCCCCCCCGTCCCCCACGCACGAGCTGCAGGAGGAGGCCGCGGATGATGGAGCGGGCGCAGAGGACGAAGGACAGGGAGCACACGAGGATGACGACGACGTCGAAGAACAGCCGGAAGGAATTGTCACCTGTGGGACACCGGGGGGGGGCTGCTCGGAACCTGGGCACCCCCTGAGCCCCCCCATGGCCTGTTGTCACCCCCTCTGGGGACAGGAGTCACCCCTGGGGACAGGAGTCACCACTGGGGACAGGAGTCA